GATATAGATATAGATATAGGTATATATATATATATATGGATACACACGCACATTGGAGAAAAAATCGATATGTAATTAATAATCACCCTTTTAAGAATGCTCTCTGGACAAATAGGTTCAACGAAACGATAATTTTACACAAGCAAGCAAATCTTACCTTCCACGATATTGCCAGGGTGGGTCTTTCCAAAACTAATTGATAGACACTTGTAGGACGAGAAGATCTCAGTCTCTTCTTCCTCCGCTTCCTCTTCATTTACCGGCGCATTAGTTACGGAAGGCATTGCAGGTGGTACGACGTTATCTGCTCTAACAATAGTAGGACCCTCTACTATGGCACTCGTCACTCGACCAGCACCGGCCGCATTGTTCGATGTGTGGTTAGGAAGTGTGCTAGATACGAGGCTCTGATGCGTAACTGGTTGAGAATCAGTACTCCCATTAAAAACAGACTGTGTATGTGTTCTATCCGTCACAGGCTCGCCACCATGTACTGTTGTTTCCCTGTAAGTTGGGGCCCAGTCATAGGTCCCAGCGTGGTTCGTGCCAGCTACGCCAACCCGATAAGCTTTGTTCTCACCTCCAGTACAGTGCAACGGCCTGCTGGCGGATGCAAATCCGGGCGCATAGATTGGGGTCTGATTCGGTTGCATAAGAGATGACATATGCACCCTATTTTCCTGTGCTTGCATCCTTATATGCTGCGGTGCTATGTTGTGAGGTATATACGCACCTGCTGTGTCAATAGCATACCCTGGATCACCAGTAATTTTATATCCAATGGATTGGCTTGGATGATGGGTTGTCAAATTAGGCTGCCCTGGGTACGGTCCTCGGCCCCTATATCTTGGGTTAATTAGATTCGTGGGAACCCCATCTCTATATCGTGGATCAATTTCATCGGCATTATACGGTCTGGAAGGGGCACCATTGCCGATCGCTTGGTTCGCTTGGTTACCGACAGGAACAAAGCCAGGTGGCATGTTAGCTCGCTGTTGTAGAGAGTTATGGTCCAGGGTATGCTCCGAATTTGACGCTACGCTATTAAACTGCGGCCTATCATATCGCAACTGAACTTCACATGCCGTGTTGGGAGGACCATTGCTTTGAGAGTTAGAAGCCTGTCGCATGCGCGGAGCATGAGATTTAAACGGCTTTTGTGTGGGCATGCCGTGCGTCTGTCTAGCTTGACTTTCGGGTGCGTGTGTGCCATCAGTAGGACTAGATTGTCCGTTCTGGGGTACCGGAGACTGTCCCGGTGAGTGTTGCCCCTCCATGGCTATGTACTCACACACACACACTGGCAGTACGCTCCCTCTAAGTTATTACGTGTGCGGTGTACAGGTGTGATTATGTGGTGGGGTAGAAATATATGAATATATTTTATTTGAGGGAAGCTATCATCGACCGATCGCATTGGCCCAATTGTCGCGCCAAAATATCTATGGCATAAAAAATAATAATCATGTATCCCTCTCTGGAATCTGAATGGCGTGATTGGTGTCTGTCTCGTCGAAAATAAAATATCAATTTCTCCCCAACATGGCACCACGGTTGGCACGGCAGGACATGCAATGTTTTCCGCAGAGACCCTGATCCAGAGAGCGTCATGTTACTTTTAGGTATGTATGTATTTTAGGGTTATATTTATTTATATAAACTATCCATATTTTCCCTTTTAAAAGAACCAGCAGTGTCCGACTGTCCGGTAGGGTTGACAAGTCTAGTCGTGTCGGGCAGCCTACCAGTACACAGTATACGATGCTCTTTCGATTTCGAATTTATCGAAACCCAGCAAACAGCACACAAGACCAATATTATTGGGGGCTAAGAGACTTTACTTGAGAAAAAGTCTTTTTCATTATTTATAATCTGTTGCAAATGTTTGCAGAGTGATAGCCAATCGTAATAACCATTAGCGCACTCAGCAATGGTTATGATCCTGCACTCATGCACTCGATACGAAGCTTTAAGTGGTATACATTGTTCATTTCTAATTTGAATGGTCAAAAGTTTAACAACTTTTAGCTAATCTTCGAACTGGCAGATGATATTTAATTCTACAATCACCGGAAGGAAGGCAGCTGACATCAACACAAGCAACTATTTAGCAATTATGTCTTTATTCACGGTTCTAAGGTTGGTAGTAAATTATGCAGCGGCATCTTTGGCCAGCAGCGTATCGATAAGCTCTTGCAAAGGTGCTAGTTCCTTCTTGTCTATGAGATTGAATTCCTGTATTAAGCATTTTACAGCAAATGTTAGAGACTGAACCGAGATAAAAATCAAGTGGGGTTCCATACAGACCATCGAAACAAGACGCAAAACGGAGCAGTACATATCGCAACAACAACTGAACGAAAACAAGAAAACAGTTTACCCATAGTGTGCGGGAATTACAGTAAAGTACAAAGATGACCAGTCGATTAATGCATCATCCGCAAATGTTTTAGAGGCCAACTATCCGCAACGACAACACACGTTCCAATAAAGTGCTGCTTATATATCCTGGGTAATGCAGTCTCTGCAGCACTTCAAATCCCGTATGACAGACAGTTCAGCCGTATGCCAAACTCTTCACATATCTCTGCCTGTTATGCTTGGCCTTGTGAGTATTGCCACTAAGCATTAGGGCAAACTCAAAAATTTGATAAACGATTAAGATTTGGATTGCCAATCATAGTATACGCACACGACATCTTCATTATTTGGCTATTATCGGAAAGCTCGACATACCTGAACGAAATATATGAAGTGCTTGAAAGAAGTGTTCAGATGCGCCTCCTCACCCAAAGATACAATCTGCATGAGGGGAAAACAACAAAATTGAATGTCATTTAAAGTAAACCTCAGTAATAAATCGTGAGTTTGAGAGGCTGAGACAAAACTGGATAATTGCGTCCCAGTATGCACGTGGAACAGAGCGGAGCAATAAAATCTGTATTACAAACTTGTTAGTTAGACATGTATATACTTCACGTCAAAGTATTTTTCGAAAAAGGGGCAGGATGTGCGCACCCTCCCTAGACCACAGCCGAACAAATTATAATTAGAGAAGGATAGGTGATGCAGACCTGCGCTTGCAGACATAGCTTGAACTTGACATGGCGCACGGAATTACCTTGTTGAAGTGAGAATGGTACACGTGGGCATACACTCTGAATAGTCGTTTTAAGATGTTCTTTGCAACCGACATGAACGTCCGCGGGAAGGGCACGCCTGATACAGTGAAAATAAGGAGCCAAATTCAAAAAAGATAGACAACAAAATATGAATTGAATATTATTGCGTCCTGCTGATATCAAGTGGGCATTTACCTGATGTTCACAATATCCTTCATTAATATCGTATATGGCTACGAACAAGAAGATCCTAACTCAAATGCACCACTCGCTCTTTTTCTCCCAACCTCTACGTAGGTGCAAATTGACACGTATAATCATATCAACAGCTCCTCTACAGTAGCATATATGTGCTGGCCCGAGTTTAATAGCGACGTCCTGCTGATATCAAGTGGGCATTTACCTGATGTTCACAATATCCTTCATTAATATCGTATATGGCTACGAACAAGAAGATCCTAACTCAAATGCACCACTCGCTCTTTTTCTCCCAACCTCTACGTAGGTGCAAATTGACACGTATAATCATATCAACAGCTCCTCTACAGTAGCATATATGTGCTGGCCCGAGTTTAATAGCGAGTGCATTAACAATCAACACAGCCGCCACATACAAACCCATATTGCTCATCAGTATCAGCTAAAACTACACGAAATTCAGAAAGTGCGAGTTCTTGAAGCTCATGGGAACAAACTTATATCCGCATGCGGGGACCGTGAAGGTTTGTGATATCACATTTGTGGATGCACCAGAAAAATCCAGGTGTGAGCTGTCAAAGTTATCAATTGAACAGTATCCTACAAACATCAAACGTCGCTTGGCAACAACTACGACACATATACGAGGGTTCATTTGTGATGCGAGCGTCTCCGCATAATCGTACACGTACGATCAAGGTCCGCACACAGTAGGTATCGAGTCTTCAGATATGTGGGATGACAGTACGATTTCAGCAACACCTTCGAAACCAACTAAAGAGCAACATGCACAAATTAGATTGATAATTGTCAAATATGTCAGGAGAAATATCACTCACCAATCTTGGAAGGGAAGATGAGCTCATCATCCAACTGGGTTTGCACCCATGTCATGAGATAGTCTACATACTCCGGCGCACTGCACTTGATTGGCTTCTTTACAGTTACATTATCCGCCCACAAGTACTCGTACCTAAAGGCGATTGTAATCAGATAATGCAGAGGTTTACGAGAAGAACCAGGAAATAAAAACTCAGGTGGTCAAAGGCTCAGGGTTCAAGAGAAACAAAGATATATTTTCCTCGGAATGATGGCACCGAAGTAGAACATTTAAACCGAACTCGACTCTCAGAGTGAAGAACAACGGCTGTAGATTCAGACAGATGCATACGATAAGCATAAGCACACAAACAAACGCACATACATATTTGAGATTTGCACCTAGACACCACAAGTAAGCAAACCAAACAAAACAGTACAAGCATCACTTATTCCAAAACAGAAAGCAGAACAGATTAGTTGGACCGGACCACGAACCAAGGCAGAACGATAGTGGGCTGGTCGCAGCAGCGGCCGCACATGACAGTTGCGTACCTTAAACCTGCTGACATGACAGGACACTCGTCTGGGGTGCAAAACTCGGTTATAGTGCCGTAAAGCATATTGATTTGATTGTAGAAGTCCACAGCTGCATTGAGGGGTATTTCAGCGACGTTACATTCCGACTTGATACTACATAGGCGAGCGACGATTACATCGCAGATGCGAGTGCACTACAACCGCAAATACACGCATATGCCGCATATCACAATATACGCCGGTGAAATAACATGTGAACAGCAATATAAAAGCATTGAGCGACGGCTTACTATTTACGGCTACCCACTCATGTATGTCCTCTCCTTCTGGAAGTGTGACAGCTAGGCGTAGGTTGCCAGAGCCCAAAGTTGCCTCAGCATATTTTTTCAGCTGATACTGCTTTGAACCCTCACTGATGTTCTTTTTGGGCCGAAATGTTTTGCTACTCTTTTTGCTGCAATTGATTTCAAGGGTACATATTCCGAATCAGTCTGTATGATGCTAAGTCGCAAGCGTTTCTCCGCAAGGCACTTTATAAGTAGATGAAGTTTTCAGTATTGTGCATGTAAAAGACAAATAGACGAAGGCCAGGCAGATGCTAATGGGAAGTTAAGAATAAGTAGATTCATAAGTACCAAATAAATGTAATTGATGACAAATACGTCGATTAAATTCCATACAAACACGAAATCACGAACACACATTGGAAACAGTACGTATGCGGATACATCTTTCGCACACATCGAGAATAAACGCCATTTCTTTCGCACAGACACACGCACAGACACAGAGATATAACATGTTTGTTTATATATTTACAGATAAAGATACAGCAAAAACACAGAAACAGATCGTGACACGTTTAAGAACGATTAAAAAATAACTCATATATAATGCATACACACACACATATATATATATACATAAACACACACACACATATATATTTATATATATATACACACACACACCACACACACACAAC